ACACATAACAACAAAATTCAGTACCTTCTTAATGATGGCAATTATACCAAAATCAACAGAGATCCTACCATCCGCCTGGCCACAAAAACCAACAATATCACCAATTCAACTTCCCTAATCGAACCGATCAAACAGCTCTCTCTAAAACCTTCGGCTGCCTAGACCACCCAGATATTCTGGCCTTCCAAAATCCATAAAGAAGGTACTCCACTCCATTCCATCGTATCCACCATTAACTCACCCACCTACAAACTGACCCGATTTCTGTCCGAGACCCTGCTTCCATTCACGGGCCAGACCACGTCAGCTGTACTTAACTCAGCTCACTTGGTTGCTCTAATCAAGGACATCTCACGGTCTCCAGATGATTTGCTTGTCAGTTTTGATGTAGTCTCTCTGTTCACCAAGGTACCTGTGCCTGACACCATTGCAATCATTGAAGACTTGCTCCAACAGGGACTGAATCCGGATATACCAAGTTTGGTAAGGCACCAATACTTACGTAGAGGAGTAATTGGCGACGTGACGTCATACGCGCAGTGAGGCGCGATGACGTCATGTCACGGGGGATACTTAAGGGACCCCCCCCCCCCCGTGACGAAAGCGGGGTCATTGTGGGAGCCAGGGATGGTGAGCGGCTGAAGGGGAGCCGAAGAGACAGCCATGGGTAGGGCTCATAAAAGTCTGCAAGAGCCGCCTAGGGGTGAGTGAAGTGCTGCTCTCCTCGGTCGGGCAGTGTTGGTTGAGCCTCGGGTCCCGACGTGAGTGAGCCCTAGAGGTAGCCGAATTAGGGATCAAGAGAGCCAGAGGTCCGAGTGAAGGACCAAGTATAGGGACACCTATCTCTAGTGTGGAGTGTTACCCTGTGTTTAATAAACCGGCGTAAGCCCTTATCAGAAAATCTGCCTCCGAGTCGTCGTGCATCACACAACACTTACTTCACCTGGACTGGTACATTCCACAAACAAAATGAAAGTACCCCTATGGGTTCTCTCTTGTCGCCAGTGATAGCGATTGTTTTCATGGAGAAATTTTAAACTGATACCATCCTGACATCCACACGGCAGAACCAATACCTCTGCCATGGCTGATCACTCTTTTAACGCGGTGGGTTCACACGATATTGTTTTTCCCGAGACCAAGGTACTCTGCAAACCTTCGGGCATCCATCAAGATTTGTTCATGAACCCATCCAAAAAAACAGACACAATTTCAACCGAGAAGATGGATACAAACTGAGCAATCATTGGAAGGATGTTATTAACCAGGTAAAGTCATAACTTGCTGTGATGTTTCCATCCTTCCTGCCGTTGTTTAGCAGTTATTTCCGACTGAATTACATCACCTTGTTAAATGTCTTTACATTAACAGATTAAGGGCTCACTAACATAGCCACCGCTGCTCCCTTTTGCCTCGATGTAACGGTAGCTCTCGCTGTTTAATAGGCTGTATGTCTCACTGGCACAGCCACAGTTACGGTGGTTCTCTTGCGTTGATACGCTGGCCTATCACTGTGCAGCAGCCAAAGCCGCTGCTTGCGTTGCCCATGAGGTGGTGCTATGCCCGGTCCTCTGACACAGACATGCTATCTTCCCATTCAACTCGTTTACATCGACATGCCAATCTCTCCCATTAACGCAGCTGCTGTGCGTGCATGCGGCGACGTTACTCGTGTACGACTACGGGGCTCATTTACATTAAACTCGTTTACATTAACATGCAAATCTCTCCCTTTAACGCAGCTGCTGTGCGTGCGGCGACGGGCTCATTTCCATATCTGACCCCACCTACTTACCCTTGGGTGACACCCACCTCAAACCTATATATAACCTCTTGTTGCAGCAACCCTTTCATGTTCAGCAGTTCTACTGCTGTATCTTTCCCCATGATGACGATTGCTTGTGCTGCGATCGAAACGTCGTCATTTATTATTTATTTTTCTACCTACGTGACTTACCAAAAGAACCAAAGAGTATGGATTCCTGCAGTCACGAAAATTCCATATCAAGATTTAACTATTTGCAGTCTGCTGCACATTCCCCATAACAGCAAAGGCTCTCCTCCCAATCAATAGCTTCCAGAGGCTTTTTTATATGAACAAAAAAACAAATAGCTGTTATTTTACACAAGTCTCTAAGGTGAGTGTCTCTCTGTGGGTGTTCAACACAAAGCTGAGCTTCAATGAGGTCATTGCTGTCAAGAATGCTGCACGTGTTAATGCATCTACTCCACAAGGTGGATGGGGAAAGTAGCCAGATTCATCCAGTGCATTATAAATTGTATAGCAGACAAAGACATATAAATGGAAAAAGTATTAACCACCTGTTGACAGTCTTATAAAAAAACAATAGAAATGTATTATATTAAAAAAGCGAATTACTTAAGAAGGCTGCCCAGTTGGGCTAAATATAAATGATAAATGTTAAGTTATGTGCCAGTTCAGTGGGAAAATTAAAATATTGTTGGAGGGATACAATTGGAAAACATCAGAGTATATAAACCCTGGGCAATTGTTGAGCAGATAGATAAAAATGACAAGATTAAAGAGGCAAGTGAGATCAGGAATGAGTGGTTCTGTAAATGTTTATTTGATAATTAAAAGCAATATAGCAATGTTAAGAAGTATCATCAATGCATATTTCATGCCATGACATAAACATAAAAAATCTGGAATTAGATAACAAGCAAAATGCATGATGTAAGAACAATTTAAATTTAGAGACATTGATATTTGGTTAAGCAAGAAATACTTACATGATCATCACCAGAATCCTTTCATAAACAGACCACTCAAAAGACTCGCAATATTCACCTTCCTACCCAACATAGCAACCTCCTTATCCAAACATTCATGTCAGCCTCCACACCCACCATCCTTTTATTCTGTTTTTCTAAACTAGAGTGCCTAATTAAGCAACTGCATGAGCGACATGCACAAGGCCATACTGAACCTGCTCGGCTGCACACCACTTATCATCAGTCACTACCATGTTTTGACCGAGGTAAAAGTTTACAGGCCATGCATAACTCATCTCCTCCAAGTTTGCCACACTTACCTCCTGTGCCATGCACCACCAAAAGACACGTTCTTACCGAGGTGAAAGGCCACACACTGTACAAAGTTCATCTCCAATATATTCTGCCTCTAATTAATTTAAATATGGAAAAAAAACTAAATTTTTAAGAAATACTGCCTGGTAAATGGACATTCACAGCTCCTACAACAAACATGTCAGAACTGCATGTGGTGTCATTTAAAGTTTTTCTATAGTACGAGGATTTTCGGCTATGAAAAAGAGGCACATTATAAAATAAAATAAATTAGTGATATAATCCCCCAATGTAATCTTTATAATGAGATTATGCAAGAACAAATTTAACATTATGTGAAAATCCTCATTGAAAGAAGTCATCTTGTGATAAGCAATACAGGATTACAGTATTGTATTAAGAGTGACAGCCAGATAAGAAACAAAGTCTGTAAATGTTAATCTCAGGATTTTGGAAGGCACCCATGACCTCCAAGGGTACATTTAAGATAGTTAAATATGTCATATTTCCCTGTACTGCACCACTAAGGAAGCAGGGTCGGGAGTGACTATGCTTACATAATCATGCATAGAGGATTTCATATGGCCTACAGAAGGCAAAAGCGGTATGTTGCCTACATATCCAGAGTTTTCTCTGGGTGTCTGGTTTATCTACAAAAAAACACAAGGTTCAGCTATTTTTATAAAATATTGCGGCTAGGTTTAAATAAAAAATTCTCCTCAACCAATAAATCTGCATTGTTTGGGATTTGATTTGATAATTTTTTTAAAATATTCATATTCTTTGGGTCTTTCGATAAAGCCACTTAGATAGAAAAATAAAAAAAATATCACGACGTTTCGATCGCAACACAAGGTGAACAAATATAGCGGGAGAGCTGCTGAGGCAGGATGTTATAAAGGTTTGAGATGGGTGTAGCTCAAGGGTCATAAGCGAAGTGGGCGGGGCTAGATGAAATTTGCATGTAAATGTAAGATCGGAGAGCTGAGCTACCTCCACGACGACGAAGCTATGGAGGTGGCAGCCCTTGTATTGTGAGAGATTAGCATCACAATATAAGAGAAACGAAAACCACCGCCACATCGAGGAAAACGAGCACGGTGGCTGTGTTAGTGAGACATTTAGCCTGTTAATTTAACTCACTTTTTTTCAACACACCCTAAACAAATGAAATAATTTCGATTTAAATATTTCGTGACTGCAAGGATTCATATTCTTGGTTCAAGCAAATGAAATCATAATTTCATGTTTAACATGAGTAAACAATGTATTTTATGTGCTAGTAATCTGGAGTACCTGGCGTAAACACACAAACCCTCAATTACACTTAAATGTCCATACAAATATACAACACCTAGCTTTATGTCCTGCCTTCTATTGGCATAATGAAGCATAATTGATCAGTGTTAATTTATTTCAACACCCTAAACAAATGAAATAATCGGTGTAATTTAAATTAACTTTCGATCACATTCAATGCTGTTTGTAACTCTCATATAATCTGAACTGACGAATCAAATGTTTTTATATTGAGACCTAGTTATTTCCATGAAAAGATCAACGACCTGTTCAAATATTGCACAAGTGCTCTCAATGTCTCCTACTCTACATGCTGTCGAGTGTCTGCAAGACGTGAATCTTCTACCCAACAAAACTAAAACCATTGTCATTCAGCCTAACATTAGAATGTAACTCTTAATTCTGATTAAGTGATTATCCAAAAGAGAGATCGCCACTGCCATAGTGAAGTGTAATGTCCGCCAATTTAGCAGCACCGACAACGAACACTGTTCCATACTCAATTCATCAGAAAATTACTCTTTACTTGAAAGTGACCAAGACCAGCACAATAATAACACTGCAGTAAAAATGAACACCACAGAAATACCAAGAGTACATGAATGGACAACACAGCATTAAATGATTTTAAGGTGGTGAAAACGACTCACCCCTTGAACTCAGCATCTTCATCACTCTCCAGCAGCAGGTCTTCATTGAGCTCCTCATCATTACTTCCCAGTAATCCTGCTGGGCCCTGAAACAAAAAACATACGAGATGGCGTTTTGTGAAAATTGTGCATTTACGAAATTATTCTTCATTCAACACGGAGATAGGATGTGACTTTGCGTTCGTACAGAATACACTCGAAATTATGTGGGCAAACATTCCATGTACCACATGTAATGCGGTTTCTATGAAGAGAGAAACATAAAAAAGTATTGTATCTCTATGTATATTTTTAAGAAATCAAGTCTTATTTCAGGTCTTCAGTTTATAACAATCCACATATGACATTTAAATGACACTATGAATCCGCTTACAACGTATAAACTTGATTTACAATGCATCTTTTGACATGATTTCAAACACATTTTTCCGATGCGACTTGGATTTTTACCTATTAAACCCTGTGAAATATGGCTGATAAAAGGAAAAACACACCGGAAAGTGATGTTTTAACCATTCATACTATCTATGGGAAAATAGAGTCCGATTTACGACGGGGTTTCCAGGAACAGATTGTCATAAAAGCAGGGACTACCTGTAATGCTATTTTTTTTTCTTGAACAAAGCTGCAATCTGGTGTCTAACAAAGTAGAATACATAGCCAAGGTAAATGTATGTAAGACAGAAGGTGTGTGCGCTTTTTGGGTTGTTTATTCGATTAACGGGTACTCACATTAGTATTAAATGTCTCTTCATCGCTCAATAGTTCATCACTGAAAACACAACGCAGACTATTAGCCTTCAAAACATCGCATGCCACATATGTTATGATAGTCAAAAGTAGACATGCTAAATAAAACAAACCAAAGTGAAAAAAATCATTGTTTTATTTCCAACCCAAACTGCTGTGTCTACAGTTAAGCGCAATAACCAAAACTTGCCAATTGTCACCATGCACCCAGCATAATAAACTCACAGCTGGAGCTCTAACCCATTGGCAGTCCTCAAAGACACTCACCTATCCCAGTCATCGGTTGCCCGCCTCCTACGCAGGCGTTGCGAACCAGGCTTCTCCAATTCAAAGTCTTCAGCCGACATCCCTGAAACACGGGGTTAAAGAAATAATTTCAAACAACTGACACGTGTGGTACTTTAGTCATGCCAACTTGTCAGGTAGGACATTTTACTCAATTGCAAAGTTGCAAACTGTCTGGTCGATTTAAACCATCGACCCTTTGTAATTGATCCAATTAGAATACAAACGCCCTGCATTTTGCCACTGAACAACATGTGCAAACAAGTGCAGAGTATAATAACAAAAAAAACAACCGACAAAGCGTGTTGAGACCTTATCGCAGCAAACTGATAAAAAGCCAGAGATCATCAGTGAGTCTTTAGACTTTCATGATGGTTCTGCATTGTGATGTTTAACATTCCAAGTTCAGGAAGATAGAAACAAAATCCATTGTACTTTCAACTCCTCGCAGCCCAAGCATACAACACCTGGTATTCCAAGGCGGTCTCGCTTTCAAGTACTATTCCAAGTATGAAATCTGAAAATCGGTTTTATTCAGGTTGATTTGGTACTAGGCGAATGAGTACTAGTACTTGGTTTGGCAAATTGGTTATGTCCTCCGAATATATTGATCTCTGCCCAGAACTGTAATTTAGATGACTGGCTCAGGATTGCCATCTTAAGTGAGCAATGGGTCCATTACTCATGAGCAGGTAGACACTTTCAAGTATGAATTGAAGGCAAAAAATAATAATGTCCTTTATCGGGAGTAATTCGCTTAATATTATTTTCTGGCTACACTCTTCGTGGTTACTTTCATTTATGGAGAAAGCTGGAGATCACAAAAAAACCCATACAACCAAAAATGTGCAGGAAAGTCTAATACCATTCACTAACCACGTTATAGCCCTGGAGGAATAATGTTATTGTTATACGTGGCTATTTGGATAATTAGCCTACCCTACCTTGAAAGTGTGGATTATAAGCATGCAACACAACAACCAAGTTACTTTGGAATCATACAGTAATGGAGAACTGTAAATAGGAAATAATGACCAAAGAATCGTACGCTTAATCACACTAATCTGTTTATAAATAATCTACACTGCATTAAAACCATGGAAACATGACATGACTGCTTTTAAACAAAACGGTGAAAATATAGACGTTTGCTCATGTATTCAAAAGCCCTGAAAGCACTGGGAACATGTATGTTAACATTTTCTAGTCCAGTAGCTTGAAACTTAGTTGTAGGAGTCTGGCATATTGGTTTCTGATTGCAACAGGACAAGGATCTCCTGAAACTAAGTTTCAATTGACGATGTGGCTGTGTTAACAATCTGGGCAGCAATTGGAGAGCTGAATAAGCAGGTGACAAAACATCACGGTTTAAGTAGGGCTACGTGTATAATGTGATGTTCTATAATTGCTATTGCTAGAGCTAGAAACAAGAAATAAAAACAATCCACTCGAATGCTTGAGAGAAAAAACCAATGAAGAAGCCCCCGTGACAGAATGGCAGAAATTAGTGAAGGGGTGGGCCAAGAGACGGGCGCCAGTAGCTGTCCTATAGCCTCACCGCGAGGTGTAGAAAATAGCGATGCTGACATGTTATTTTACGATATTACTGTATTTCAATCCGTTTTACGTGAATACCGTGCAGATGCATTGAGGGCAAGGCATTTCATTCAAAATGCCTACAGTATGGGACTACCAATTAACCACAAGTGCGTCTTCATAGCCACTCTGCCAATGTGTCTCTCTACTCAAAAAGGCAATAAATGGGGGTGTCACCTATCTAACCTCTTGGAAGGCCATGAGCTGTTGGCGAATAATTCTATGTTCCCATGGCAAGGGGTGGTTGACGGGAAAATAAAAATGTGCATACAGTATTTGGTGCTTCAACAGCAAGCGCATGATCACGTCTGGTGCCAATCCTACAATGTAGCACTGAAATAATAACACCTCAATACTTTGAAATAGTACGCATTGTAACATTTTTTTTGTAACGCCTTAATTTTGGCCCTTTGGCCAAATAAACCGGGATGTGCCCGGCCTCGTCACTTTTCGTAAGCCAAGCAGAATTGAACCTAGGAGACTCGGACGCGCAAACAATGTGTCAAAAGGGCTCGCATGGTTACGTGGTGGGCCGGAGGGAAGTGCACCGAAATACAATGTTGTGCAGTACTTCAATGCTCCCGCGTTTATCCATCACACCGTGTGTCAGCGTGAAGTCCCACAACCAAAATCCAGCAGGGGATTTAAGGATATGTGCAGGTTTATAATTTAAGAATATATTCAAATATAACACTGCAACATTCTAAAACAATAGCACGTTATTATTGCAAACACCTGGCAGGGCCAGTCTCGCTAGACAATGGCAACATTTCTTCCAAGCACCTCCCCAGCTGTTCACATAAACGTGCCATCTAAAATGAATACCGTAAAAGCCCCCTTTTGTGAAGCCAAGTGTTTCATTTTTTAAACAAGTACAATTACCTCGCCCAGTTTCGTTCTAAGTCGCCGCGCGGTCGCTGTTCCCGCACGCCACAGAGCTAGGCCGAGCCCTCGTGTTCGCCTAGAAGCACCGCGGGGATTGCGGAGCCCGAGCCGGCAGGAGCGGCCAGGAGTGAAGGGGTGCGGGCCCAACGGGGTAGGCCCAACCTAATGGGCCGCGGGCTGTGTTCGACGACAAATTGTGTCGCATGGCATTCTAAGTAAAAAAAAGAAAAACACGAGCAGCCGAAGCGAATACTGTCGCCTAGGTATCTCTGGTAACTAAGTAAAATTTACTTGTATACGACGGTTGTGGAGAAGATGGCGGCGAGGTTACATGCGAAGGGGGGGGGGGTGCAGAGCATTGTGGGTAGAGCCGGTCGCCGGAGCAGGAGCCCCGCCCCTCAATCTAACCCCGCCCCAACTATTCTCAAGCCCCGCCTCCTCCAGCATTAGCTCCTCCTACTCCCTTCATCGCCCCACCCCGCCGCTTGTTCTGGGGCAACTGTCGCCCCACGCCCATCAATGGGTTGTTCTCACCCTCTACCCCCACCTCTGTCTAGACCACGCCCTTTATCCCCAACCCCCCACCCCCTTCCCCCGCCCACAATGCTCCGCCTCTATCCCAATCGATTCGATTCGACATCTTGACAAGTCGATTCGTTATGCTCACCATGCGTGCATCGAATCGACCATGTGGGAATCAACGCAATTAGATCGGTTCAATTAAAATAAAACGTAGGGTAGCCGATCTTATGCGCCGTATTGGTTTTTTGGGGTGAGGGTTTAGGTTTATTTTGGTGTAACCAGGTCCCCGTGGGTTTTGCCCGTGCCAAAATAGAAACCTAAACATAGGGGCCGTCCATAAATGACGTCACACATCTAGGGGGGGGAGGGGGTCAGACATTTGTGACGATGTGTGACGAGGGGGGGGGGGTTTGAGAAATATGACGTTACATCAAAATGCGCAACCTTAAATAAATATAAACAATAGAATTGTTATAACAACACTGATTTTGATTAATTTTCATTATTAACTATTTGATTATTTAAATTTACTAATGTCACCTTTTATTTATTCCATGAAAGAGCATTTTGCTTCTCCATGGGATAATGGAGAAGCATACATTTTGTAAATGTTTTGAATTATTGTTATTAAACATTTTGATTTTAATGATTCTACCAAGGCTTTTCATTCTGTGGTATGAATATGTGATTGTTAAAATTGTACTCTCCATTTTGCTTCGTTCTACTACAAAGTTTCAAGTATTTTTTCATAGTTATAATTACTTTTAATATTTTATAATTATAAGAGAATTTCTATCTAATATTCTGAACATCTGTAGTTTTAGTTATACGCTGAATATTTTCTAGTGAATTTTATGCTAAATTTCAGCTTTCCAACGCCTCCTTTTTAATAAATGTTTTCTCCTACAACATCAGAGTGCAGCGCCACATTAAATACGCATTACAATGACAATAGTTTAAAGTTATTTGAAGCATGTTTTATTTTCAAAATGGAAATATGGTTGGGGGGGGCAGAGCTTTGTGACGTGATATTTGAGGGGGTCTGACTATTTGTGACGCCGTGTGACGAGGGGGGGGGGGGGGTCAAAAATCGGCCAAAATCGCGTGACGTCATTTATGGACGGCCCCATAGTAGTCATGCCAAATTTCGTGTAATTTACCCTCCCCTTCAAACGCGTATTCCACTATAACCTCCACTCACGGCCCACCCAACCTCGTAAATTGCACCTCAAATTATTGGTAAAATCACCTCCTGTTCAACCCAGATACATCCGTAACCCATGTCCTATGTATGTGTATATTGGTCGCGAAAGCCTACGGGTTAAACTATGTATGCTGAACTTCTTTCGCACTGGATCCAACTGTGGTATTCGGCGGTGCGGGGAAATCGGAGGTGCTTAGGCACAAGGCAGCGGATCACCAGGGTGTCACTCGCTCACAAAATATTGAGCGCTGGCTCCAGCATCGGTCTCCGAAATCATCTGAAAATCCTTGGCATCATCTCGTCCTCAACACCATCTCAAGGCCCTCCTTGTAGCACATCCCGCCCAACGTTGACTGCAGCCACAGCAAGTGTACTCTGGCTTGCGGCATCATCCTTGCTGAGACATCAGAAAAAACACCTCAACAAACTTAAACGGTTCAAAAAGAACCCGCTTTTCCATTAAATGCTATTTGTGCTTCGTTTGTTGTCCTTCCCCCGCACCTCCGATTAGCACGGTTGGCTACGAACAGTGCGAAAAAAAGCTCAACATAGATACATTAAATGTGACTTTCTAGCTTTCAAGGCTTAGCTAAAAAAAATCCACTGCCTCTCCATCAAATTCATGATCCAGTGTAAAATCGCCATCCTGTGTCATCGAGCAGTAATCACAAGGTCTTGCGCTATACCTCCTCCATCATGGTCACTCCACTGACCGCAGCAAACTGCCGCAAAACCCTGCGGCGAACGTCTAACAACCAGAACCAGGACCGTTGCACTCTCTCCCATGTACCTGCACACAGGCGGCAGCATCCCAAATCGTCATCCACCGTCAAGCAGCAACTCAAGGCTCTCTCACCCGTACAGGCTCTCACTCGTTCGTGTTGGCATGCGAGGGACTTTGAGCTCTTGACTCCGCGCGTCCGTTTTTTCGATTGAACGTGGCGCCCGATGCGCGAAATATGCGTGCGTTATAAATTGTGTTTATTTTTTATGCAACGACATATTTGTTAACGTGACAAATCTAGTCGGATGGTGGAGGGTTATTGACAAGAAAGTTGGCACAGCATTGCTTGGCCTAACCCAAAGGCAAATATGGATGGATATAACTTGTTGCTTTACGCTAAGGGAGCAGGTTAAATGGCTTTAAAATGAACATACCGACGCACCTAAAAACACTTTACTCGACATGTACTATTTGTTATTGTCGGTGACGAACGAAAAGCTACAAGAAAAGCTGAATAGTGCACAAAGGTGCGTGGAGAGATGCCCGCTTAGAATTACACTGAGAGGCATAAAGAGCTCACGGATTAGAGAACACGCGCAAGTGAATTCATCATCCAATGTTTGAAGCAAAGTGGGTTTGGGCATCACACGTCGCTAGGAGGGATCATGACCGAAGGTTGGGAATTCAAATCTTGGTTGGTGGTTGGCTCTCTGGGGTCAAAATCAGCACCACTTTGTGGGAAATCAAAAGTAGTTGGCCTATGGAGACACTTTCCCCTTGCCATAGTAACGTGGCATTTCCACTCCTGGTTCATGCATTTAAACAGGAGATGAGCACTGCCTAAATGTAAATTTTGATGATATCACTTTCACTTTTTTGAGCCAAGAAAATGGAATGCATCCCAGCAGATGTCCTCCGAGGAGACTGAGCAATTAAATCAGTTCATTTAGCGGTGCAAGGTGGATTATTGCAGTTTTTTTTAATGGATTATTACATTGTTGACTTAAAGCCTTCATCCAGCAGTGGATAAACCATGACAACACGTGCAATAAAATATATTAAAACACTAGAGCCTATTTACGTTTATAAAAAAAACCCATATAATCTCATTCATACCAGAATTTTAAATGAGAATTGGCTACCAAAATTGGCATTATTTGGACGAGCTCGGAAATTTTCATATAAATTGCGTAAATTTGTTTTGCAAAATGCGTTCGGTTTTAGGACAACGCACATTGAATTGGTTCCATTGTTTGCTTGGGGTCATTGCCAGTAATTTGTTGCGTTAGCAGGTGTGGTGACATGGAGGAGATATTTACAAATTATGTTATTTAAACACGAATTCATATTAGTATGGTAATATTCCTTTGCAATGAAAATTAATTGCAATTATGATGTGATAACTGTATTATGCATGATCATCATTCGGCGGCTCATACATTTTGCATTTATGCTGATAGTAAAAAAAAAGACATGGATTTAACATTTTGGGCAAATATTTTTTTAAACGCATATTTTGGACAGCAGGTATTCTAAGCATTTTAAGAATATGGGGTTATGTCAAAATATTTTGTCTTAATTCGTTCATTCAGTAATAGTAAAACCCCATTTTAACCCGATAGTCCATGCACCAGGACCAGATATTTTATTTGTTGGTACCACCTAAGTTGGCATAACGTTAGAGGCTCACATTTCTGTATATGACCAAGAACAATGAATTACGTGATAACCGTTTCACATGAGTGGGTTATTCAATAATTAACTCTTATCAGCCACGTAAATAAATCGGTATGATTAAAGTTATGACGGTTGGCTACGTACCGTGCCAAACAAGTTCAACATACATACGTAACGATTTATGCTTTGGCCCATAGACTACTCGAGGCTTGGGGCAAGTGTTGTTCGTGAACATCTATTATGGCCAGCACAGCACACATGGAAACTACTTTACAATGTACACTATTCTGCTTTGTCTCCCCACTCCTGTTATAAATGTTTAGGTTGAATTGACCGAGAGCAGGTTGAGTATAGGTTCAGATACCACGTGCTCATGGTGTTGTGCATGGTCAGGAATCAAACCGGATTGTCGGGGACTGGCGCGGGGCAGTGTGTTGAACACCACTGCTTCTGAACTGCAACACAACTCGATTATCTTCTTCATTGTCGCTTGGTGAGAAGCTGATCAGCAACGTTCCTCGATTCAAGTCGAGATTGGTGAGTGAAACAGTAGCCTGGTAAATGCCTGAAATCCTGCCGGCGAATTATTGAAGCCGGCAATGGACTGACTATAGGTTGTCCGTGGCTTGAGATCGGAGACCGGAGTCACATTCAGAAATGAACTTTGAACCGACATAGGAGATGACCACATCTACCGTGCGATGTTCTGATATAGCACAAGACAGACTATCGTTATTAATTTATTTGACACAATGGTGCACCCATTTATAGAAAAGCTGAATTTCCACATTTACATTTCAGAGACCAATCCGTACATAATGTCTCACAAATACTGATTTTATCAAGCACCGAGGGTGATTGGCTGATCTATAATAAGCAAAACATGGTATACGTGGCAAAGTATATTTTATATTCCTGGGAGCTGTATACCTTTTTCACTTGGAGTCCATTATTTTGTGTACGTTAACTCAAAAATATGCCGATGCAGCATCAGCGGCAGGAAAAAAAACCCTTAGCACAGGATACAGCCCCATAATGGTGAGGCACAGACAGCCAGTTTCATGAGCATTCAGCCTTCCCAGCGTCATCCCAGGCGGAGGAGAATGGGGCGGCATCAGAGCGGAACGAGCCCTGGGCGGCCGCACTGACCCTGAGCTTGGGCAGAATGGCCTCACGACAGCCGTCCATAATGGTGGTGTGAACAGCGGGGGCCCAGGGCATTATGTCCCT